GCCTCCAATGGAACACTCCCTTCCACCTGAGTCTCTCCAGGTGCTGGACTCTCACCCAGCATGTCCCCAGCATGGACTTCCACATGCCCTGATTGGAGTCCCTAGGCTCTCACCCTGTCACAGAACTACACTACTCAGCCCTCTTCCCTTGTCTAAACCACCCCCAGGACTTTCAGGACAACAGAAGCAGCGGAAGTTCTGATCTAGCCCCCAATATCCTGCATGGGGCCTGGCACACAGTGGGCGCTCTGGATATATGGGTAGTAAGTGAACACATGATTGCTGTAAAGCTGAGTTTCCCAATGTGGTTTTGCGTAGACAACTTAGCATCCATTGTGTATAACTATGAAGTCCATCAACTTGAAGCATCACATCAAATAAATTCTGCAAGTTTCTAAATCCTGAAGCCTACAGGAAAAGGATCTGATTTAAATATGAATTAGCTAATGTTAAGACACGGAAGCACGAAACAACGGCTGGTAAGTGTAACGACCGACATTCTAGACATGCACAGCCATGGAAAACTGGACTACCAGCCTATGCTGTATCCTGTGCTCAACCCTGCCACTATGGCTTCTGAAACAATGAGAACTACCAGAGAAGCAGGAAGCCCTTAAGTGAAAACCTCTACCTATGTCTTTTTCAGTTACTCTGGCCAACAAATCCGTTCAGAAATTCTTGAAGATACAGCTCTAAAGTATGCTAAGGAAAATGCAATGTCCTTAGAGAAAGAGAACACTCGGACATATCAACGAAAGCTGCTTTAAGTGAAAGACCAAAAGTGCTAACAGAGTCCATGTCTGCAAACACAGAATTAACCACAACGGACGCTGCAACAGGAGAGAGCCACACAGTTGGCTGAGCTTCGACGTCATGGCCAAGCCAGCACCATCAGCCTGTCACGGGACGGAGGAGAGAGCTACTCACTCAGAGCCTCGCACTGGCAGTAACATGGACCTCATGTCTGAAATCTACACTGAGACTCCAGCACCAAACGGCTGGGAACTGGGAGCCGGAGGTTAGTTGGTGTAAGTATAAAATTATAGCACTTCAGTTTCCAGAGACACAGACAACAAGGTAGACACAGCTCTGCCCCATCAGAATCAAGAGCAAGGACCATGACTCCCAGCATAACAAGTGGCATCGAAATCAGATTCTGTCACTTGCTTTTCTGCTTTCCTGTTTCTCCCAATGTCAGAAGAGGCTAACGCAGGATTAGTAAGCAGCAACGAACCTGAGGGTTCTGGAAGAACCTTGCTGTGTTATTCATAGCTTTGCCAGGTGCTTCCCACCCGTCAAACACTCTTATCCCAAAGCCAGGCTCTGGTGGTTTCTGGATTGCCTGTGCAGGAACACTGAGTTCGCCAGCTGTGATCTCCACATGGACACTCTCATGGCAGAGCTGTGCCACTACTGTATCCCCACACCTCTGCGACTCCCTCAGGCAAGGGGCTCATTCTGTTGGAAAGGACAGTGCTACCTAATTTGAGCTGAGGTCATGTGTATTTGGAAATCTTCTGACTTGGAATTTGGCAGGATGTTGTATTTATTTCACAAGCTGTCATTGCACCCTGAAATGACTGCTTTATGTTCCAAAACTAAGGGTTTCATAGAGAAAGGGAGACATCACTTACTAAAAAACACTATGATAAATGGTGAGGCAGTCTGTCACTGATACGTGGAGAAAAAGGCCTTCAGCAATAATAGAAAGTCTAATGACGCAGTAACAGAGAAGTTCTAAAAATAAATAAGAGAGGGCCAGGAGGTGGCATAGATGTTAAGGTGGCTAGGTCACACATGGCCAAGTCCACGGTTCAATCCCAGACCCAGTGGTTTGAACATCACACTGGGCATGTGTGCATGCACGCCCAACATCCAGAGAGGAGAATGGAGGAGAAGGGACTGTGGCTTGGCCATCCCTCCTTGGGGGTGACTTTTCACTTTGTGTCTGTCTCTCTTCGGCAATTACACACACCCTATAGCAAAAACTAAAATGAAGCAAGAAAGAGACCTGACCGGCTAACATCAGTCCTATTCCCAGCCCCATCACTAGGCCTGTGGTGAAGCCATCTCACCTCTTTTCCTTTCTAATGAAATAAACCAGAATGAGGTTCAGTTTTCTTCTGAGGACTCACGAGATCAGAATGATTCCTGAAACCCCTTAGAGGTCTTAAATACCAACACCATCACCACTGTCAAGACCAGGGCTCAAATGGTGCGATCTGTAAGGTCAGGACACCCTTAACTGATTTGGCCACCAGGCAGGATTTGGGCTGCTCAGTAACAGGAGCAAAGAAACACATCTTTCCTCGACAAAGGAGGTGGGTGGAGTTACAGATTCCTTGGAGCCAACTGGCTAGAATGCTCTGTGATTATGTGGAGAACTCTACCTCCTCAAAGGGAGGAAGAGGAGGATGAACGCTTGGAACCACCTGCCCCGGGCACCCGATACAGAACCCATCTGCGAGGCATGTGTGCCAGAGCCCGAGCGCTGTGTTTCTGTGCACATGAGCAGTGTGTGTCCTAGCTGGTTCCTGCCACACGCATACGCAGACACTTTCACACACTACGGCCAGGCCAGTACCGCCCGTACTGTGGAGAATTAAAGCACAAATCCATGAGGCATCACGTTGAAACACTTTTTATGGGACACTATACTATAAAAATTATATTCCGGGGACCACCATAGACTAGTAGTTAAGGAAGCTGGATTCCACATGGCCAACAGAGGTTCAAACCCTGGCCCCAGGGGTTTGAGAAATACGCTGAGCGTGCAAGCATGTGTACCAAATCCCACCAGAATGCAGAAATGAAGGAGAAGGGGCTGCAGCATCACCACACCCAACTGCAATGTCTTCTCCCTCTCCCGACTTCGCTCTCTGGCAAGCACGTGCATCCGCGGGCAAAACAACACTGTTCTGGGCTGGCCACGCATGGAAGTGACACACTATGCACATAGCAAAATCCTACACAGCCAACCACGGTTCAAATCCCCAATCCATGACTGAAAAACGTGTTGAGCACACATACATGGGTCCAAAACCTAATAGGATGAAGACACACAGGGAAAAGGACTATGGTGTGACCACATCCCTTGGCAGGTGCTTTCTCTCTTGCACTCACTCGCTCTCACTCTCTCTCTCTCTCGCAAGTTCAAAAACCCTCTAGTACTTCAAGAAAAGTGTTCTTAAAGAAGGCTAAACCTAATTTGTTCTCAAACAAACTTATATCTAAAACATCCTGGGCAAGTATGAATTTCCAGTGTTTCAAACCAGTCTCTGCCATCCCCAGACCAGTGACAGCCAGTGAGGTGCTCCCAACCGACCTAAGTCATAGCTTGGATGGCCTTTTGAAAAAGGAGGAGTCTCTATGCCACAACCCTCAGCTTCCCAAGTAGCTAGGACCACAGGCGTGAACCACTGAGAGGCCTCCCAGCAGCCACGGTCTACGGACCTTGAGTGCACGTCTATCATCCGGCTGCCTGAAGCCGGGTTCTAGATCAGGCCACGTGTGACCTTTCACACACGTAAGAGCCCTTGTTGCTCCAGTGACCAGCACCATGGCATAGCTCCCCCCACTCTGAACCCCGACATCCAAGGACCAGTGCAACCTACTTGTTTGGGGGCGTCTGCGGAGGGGGTGTGGGCGTCCGCGCCCCGGGGTCCGTCGCACTCAAACACCACTGTGGGAACAAGGGCATCTGTTAGCAGACAAGCACACGCTGCACCACCGAGCACATTAAACGAGCCCATTACAGATCAAGCACTTTGACAAAAAAGACACCAGCGCCTAGCCTGTGGCCGGGAAACACCAATTTACCGGAACACTTACAGTAGGAACTTGTGCTAGAGCCCGCCTGGGGCCACTGCCCTGTTTAATTCCGACCGTGCTGCTGAGGAAGGCAATCACTGACAACACTAATTACCAGTGTGCGTGTGCAGGCCCCTCTCCTCGCATCACTTACCGTTTGGCCTGTGTCGCTTTGCATCAGACGCTCACGCACACACCCTTAACACTTCTGAAAAAGCTCGGCTCCCCGGCTCTCTGAACTGCAGAAGCCCGACTGGGTCTTATGCAGACCCTCTGCAGAGTGTGCTGAGGGCTCTGCAGTAACCATGGGCCAGTCCAGAGGGGGTGCGGGCAGACCCCACAGGTTCCAGCTGATGCCAATGAGGACATAAAAGCCAGCCGTATGTTATGCTGAGAGGGACGCTTTGATTTCAATTTGTGCTGGTGGCAATACAATTCATTAGCATATTCATTTCTGAGATGTCTACTCTCTAATTAAAATGGAACATTTGCAAACAGGCTTATCTCAAATTGAACCACATGGCACTAGGGTACAAAAGAGAAAACCCATTTTGGAAGAGACTAGCAGATAATTCCAGAGGTAGGCAGCCTTGCTTCCCCCGATACGCTAAAATCAGAAAATGTCCCAATGGAAGACACCCGATGACTGGCAGAGCGATGCTGTCCGTGTCTCCATGGAGACCTGAGGCCACACGGAACACCTGGATGGCTGGAAGTACCTGTGTGCGCCCGCATGTGGGCCCTGAGGTGGCTGGGCTGGTGAAAGCTCTTCCCACACTCGACGCAGACGAAGTCTCCTGGGCGGGCCTGTGTCCGGGGCATCCCTGAGGTGGCGTGGCATGGTAAGGCAGTGGCGTGGTATGGTGGTGTGGCATGGTGGTGTGGCGTGGCAGTGGAGTGGCATGATTGGTGCGGTGGGGAGGAGAGAAAGGAGGGAGGAGAGAGCAAGAGGAAAACATCATTAGTCTGTCTAATGAGTCATCATTGAGGCCACCTCCAGGCCCTGGTGACAACTGTCAGCCTTCATCTCAGCTTGGCTGACAGGATGGACACACTGAGGACTGAGGAGATGCATACATTACAGTGAATTAAAAACACTCCCTGGGCCAGGCAGGGCCGGAGGCACCGCCAGGCTGAGTCGGACAACAGCCCTCAGCAGCTGAATGCTCAGCTCGGCCATCACTGCTCTGTCAAGCAGCACATCGGGCAACTCGGAGTGACACGGGCGTGACAGAGACGAGGTGCCTGGATAATAGGAAGTGAGCTGGGCCAGAGCCCATGTGCGGAGGATGGCGATCCCAGGGGCAGACGCAGAGCAAGCACGGCCATCAGAGCAGGTCCCACCTCCAACCCTCTCACCTGTGTGGCCTGGCTGCTCTGACCGCTGACCACAGCCTCAGCAGATGGGGGCCATCTGCAGACAGGGCCCCGCGAGCCAGCACAGGAGCAGGTCCTGTCATCAGTGATGGTGGGAGAACTAGCACCTCCGTCTTGGCCAGATGCCATGACTACACTGAGCCTAGGGACTGTTCCCGTCTGATCCAAACAGGCCTCTCAGAAAAGGGATGCAGAGGCACCAGCATCTGTCTACTGTTCCCCTCTGAAGACAAGGACAGGCTTGGCTTTCAAGTACCAAGAGCTCCAGACATTTCCCTGGGTCTGTAACAGCTATGTTCAAAGGCAACTCAACTCAGGGGGAAAAAATTAAAATAAAAATATTAACTAGCAATATACATTTTTTTTTACTTTTGCCTTAGGGCACATACACTCGTCAGAGAGAGAGAGGGAGAGACTAATAGAGACACAGAGAGAGGAAAACTGAGAAGTCATTGCCCAGGGGGAGAGCCACACTGCAATCCCTTCTCCTTCATTTCCCTCTCGGGATTTTGGGCATGCACACACACATGCCTGGCATGATTTTCAAGCCACCGGGTCTGGGACTTGAACAACAGTCAGTCATGTGGGAGTCTAGCGACTTAACCACCACACCATCTGCTGACCCCAATTTTTCATTAGAAAAAAAAAGCTCCATTTATCTTTGTATTTATGTATCCTAAGTCTGACATTCCAACGCAAAACGCAAATAAATGAAAAGGTTGACAAACAGCTGCCTCAGTCAAATTCACTGAGAAGCAAATCTTTAATATTGTTTTTCTTGCCCTAACTCAAGAAGCTTAACAGATAAGATGACAAAGTCATTTTTACTTTATAGATAATGTTTATGGAGATAATAAAGAAATATATGAACTATGAAGCAGATCTCATCAAGTTTCTTATTTGACAGATCACGGAAATGACAGTTAAAGAAATGTAAGAACTTGCCCACTAAGTGCTTGATTTCCCATTGCCTTACTCAGGAACACATCAGGACACACTAGGAAAAAGTTAAACCACTGCCGTTACTGAGAAACCACTAATATTAAAGCCATCCACCAGAAAATATGAAAACCACTACAGGAGGGCCTCTAGGTGTTAGAATGCCCCAGGCACTATTTCTTATATCTTTGTGCTAGGACTTTTTCTCTAGGCAATACTTTGGGGGACAGGACCCAAAAAGGACAAGAGTTAAAACAGGCCCGGCCTTGGAGACACAGCCGGTAGCATACAGAACTGCAGTGCTAGAAGCCACATGGCCTACTGCAGGTTTGGATCTCGGGGCCCTGAAAACACTGAGGGTGTGTGCTCATACCCAGGATCCTGATGGGCCAGAGGGCTGTGGGAAGGGGACTGCAGCATGCAATCCTGTCAACGGTGCCTCCTTCCCTCTCCCTCCCATTCCCATCTCTCTCTTGTGCACATACATGCGCATACAAGTACTATTGGTTTTTTTGTTTTTGTTTTTAAAAGGCAAAACTAGACATGTGGGATTACACCAAGTGTCATCTTATTAGGTCGCCAGGAAAGCCACAGCGTTTTCTCTGTCTCTCTATGCAAAGATGTGTTCCGACTTTCCAGACACCCAATACAGGGCTTATGTACAGCAGAGAAAACAACGGAGTGAAGAGACGGCCCACGGAATGGGAGAGAATATCTGCCAACAGCACATCTGGTGGGGACAGACATCCAAAACACTTAAGGAGCTCAGACTTTGAACCAAGCAACTGAGGTAGCAGCTTGCCCTCTTTGGCTATGCAGCCACAGTGACAGGGAGGATCACAGAGGCTTCTGTTCTTCTGATTAGACGTGCTTTGTGTGAGAAAGCATTTGCACTGTCTGCTTTGTTGAATATCTGGCATATTTAACCTTTCAGGACTATCCTACTACCCTCTTATTTTGGTCAGGAAAAGCTCAACTTCAGAAGCAATGTTATTCTTTCTTCGTTCTCACAATAAACATGATACAGCTGAGCGCCTATGAAAACTATCAGGCAATTCCTCTCGTTGTCTGTATTTTCCTCGGTGAAAGCTATACTGTGGCTACATGTATGTTCTACCTATGACTAACAAGACACTTGTACAAGACGACATACAACGTCACTTTTGTCTATCATTCACAACACCCAAAATCTAAGTTATTACAGTGTTTCCTAAGTCATTATTTTAGCTATTTCCTACCCAAGCAGTAACAGGAAAAGGAAAAAAAAAAAAATAGCATGTTTGCCCCCCATTCTTTTTTCTGTGAATTAAATATGCACAGCACACAGGCACACGCACTCATGCACAAGCGCACACACGCTGTTTGCTCATGCGGTTTGTCATGTCGCTTTCTCTTTACTTTTTAAAGAAAGGACATTTGCCCTTTATGGTCAATAATATTATGCCCAAGCTACTCCGAAATTCTGAGTTAATCAAAAGGTTATAAACTTCATCTGAATTGAAGACTACCTGCTGAGCCAACAGCTCAGACACTCTGACCTAGAAACTCAAGTTGTATATTGAAAGTGGACTTCATGTGAAAAAAAAAAAAAGAAAAAAAGATCTGGCATTCTTCAGAGAGCAGACACCAGCCTGAGATACTTTATTTTACTGTACTGTAATATGCCATCTATAAGGGGAAAGAGAATATTTTCTACAAAGATATAATTACTGAAGGAATTTCAGTAACTTTCATTCACAAAACTTTCATTATCATCATATTAATGCATCCTTGGTATAAACATTTCTTAAAAATGTCAATAAGAAAGACCGTATCTACTTTTCCATGTAGAATTGTGCCTGTATTATCTTCAAATTTTCGTTTTAAAATCCAGTTATGCTAGGCTGGTCACAAGGTCTAGAAACACGTGCTATTTATTATTTGACTACCGTTATACCAATGAACCATCGACGGTATATTTATACATGTTTTCGGCCTTGGTAGTTGCTTGCAGAAAGATTATAGAATGAGCAGCATTTTCTTTTTCTCCAGGGCTAGGCTGTGAGCCCTGAGGGAGCAATAATGGCCATCTCCACCTTCTTTTGATGAGATCTGCTGATGGTCCGGGTCTACAGACACATCACCTAGTGAACACGTGTGGGAGGAAAGTCTCGGAAAAGTGTCTTTCTTAACTTCTGAATAAAACGTGACGCCTCACAGGCACTGCCTAGTAAGTGATGTTCTCCACAGAAGTGGAAGCCGCACACTGAAAAATCACAATCATACTTTTCACCCAGACCTAGCTCACGTCCAAAACAGACGGCCTAGTGTTTCACTAGATGATTCTCCTCTGCACACTTCTGCCTCCTCGCTACTAGCCGGTGCATCAGCACTGCACTTAACCAATGACCCATACAGAGAAGGTGAGGCCTTCAGATCCACACATGATACCCACCCAGCCAGAAGCAAATGCATCAGTCCAAAATGAAGATCTGTAAAGTACTGATCCACCAGTATCATAAGACAAGTGAAAGGCACTAGTTTTACTAGGGATGAATTTAAAAAGACTCTAAGCTCATGGCTCAAAAATCAGCTGGTTAGGTACACAGTGAAGGAAGGGCTGAGCAGAAACAAGTGGAAAACGGAAACTGGAAGGTTTAGCTTCTAGAGTCTTTAGTAACACGTCAATAATGTAATTTGGGGGGTATACATATTTCCTAAGCTACAATAGAAGAGGCAGTATCTCCAAACAAGAAACCCTGATTTTCTGTTCACTTCTCCATAGCCAGACCACAAGCACCTGCTGGGCTTCCCTGTAGCTACAGCACTTGAAAGAGTAGCATCGACAAACACTAAAACAAGGAAGAGGAAAGCTGGAAGGCCCAGGCACCCCGGTAGAGAACTGCTAGAGAGGAGGGATGCCAGAGCCAGGACAGGGAGGAGAGCACCGCGTGGACACCTGAAGAGCTGCCACCCAGAAGAGCTCTCAGCTCTGAACTGCCTGGAGTAGGAAGCAGTGGCCAGCAGAGTCCACCAAAGCTCACCTCATCTGGGGCAGGCCGGTCCTCCCCACCAGGCTTCCAACTTCAGCTGCCTGGCACTGAGGAGGCACGCCAGACACGTTATCCAGACAAGCTGGTTTTGACTGCTCCCACTCAGAGAAGGAGGCCTCTAAAATGCACTTTCTAACAAGTGCACTTTAAGACTAAAACATTTCAAACACTTCGCTTAAGAAATCCAAATTAGGGCCTGCCAGGTGGTGTGGTATAATTAAGGCAGCTAGATTCCCTGTGGCCAACTGTGTTCAAGTCCCAGGCCCAGTGGCTCGAAAAAATACACCAAACATATGTGCACACATGCCCAGAACTCCTGAAATAAGAGAGAAGAAGAAACTGCGGCATGATCATCCCTGTGTGGGGTGCTTTCTCACCTTCTCTCTCTCTCTCCCACTGTCTCTGCCGAGCACACGAGCTCTACAACGAAGCTAGAAAAAAATCAGAGTGAACTTTAGAAACCATAGCTCTGCTGACTTGTACTTAACAAAGATGCAGGACGTACATTAGAAAGGTAAACCATCCAGGAAGAGCACTGTGCTCCGGGGCGATTTCACATCTTTCACATTGGAGAGAGAAATATTCGACTTCTTTCTTTCAAAACAAAGTATGTCTTTAAAATCATTCATTTAAAAAAAGTTAAGGAGAAGAAAACATTTCAGGCTCCTTTGTATTTCAAATTGCCATTTGAAATTCTCAAAATCTTCCTTTAAAATCCACCTCTACTTGCTCAGAGCATGAAGGCCTTTAAGAGTTCCTACATGTAAAAAAAAAAAAAAAAAAAAGTTCCTACATGTAAACAGGCAGGCAGAGAAGCGTGTGGCGTGTGCAGACCACCAGCATGTACCTAACAGTTACAGGTCCAGTTACACGTATCACAAACCACACACAAATGTCCAGCTCACTGGGCAGGGCTGCAGTGGTCAGGGAGGGACGGCACGTTGGGGCCAGGAGCTGCCCAGAACACAGGGCATCCACAGCCACATGACCCTCTCTCCTGTCCCAAATATCCCCGCTGCAGTGCCCAGGAAACAAGTGAGCCAGAACCAGACCCAGAGAGCAGGTGAACAGGGGAGGGGCCCCCAAGGAAGAGTCCTGTGCCAGGAGATGGATACATGCATATATTTAGAGCCAGTTTATAAAACAGAGTCACTCTGGTCAAGCTTTTGATAAGGGTCGTTCACTGTTCTCACTAGAAATCAAGTGGTAGCTATCACAGCTCGCTCACACAGAGAACCGCTTACACCCAGAGCTGCTGACAGCTAAGCAAAAGAGCGAAACACCTTGCGTAGTAATTTACTCTTGCATCTACAAGATAGAGACCCACCTGACTGACAGGGAGTACAGTCAGACCCATTTGGAAAACTCCTTCCTCCCACCAAGTTCCTGGTGCCCAGTAGGTTGTCATCTCCCCTCTTGCCATCCCAAATATACACACAGAAATTCACCACGCAGAAGGGACACTGAGTCAACACCCTGATTCCCACTGGGGCAATAAAACCAACTGGGCAGCTCATCCACATACGGATGCGGATGCTCGTCCCTCCGAAGCCGCCCTGGGCACGTGCCTGTAGGTAACTGAATTCCTCACCTGAGGGAGAGAGCCAAGCACAGGGAAAAGTGGATTCCAAACAAAGAAGCCAGATATTGTGACAGACCTTCCCCTGCTAAATATTCCTCACCAACTCTTGGAATAAAAGTAACACCAACCCCATTCCCAGTGCAGTTGTCCTTGGGCAGCTGCCCGCCCACAAGCCTTGCAGGCATGGGGCAGTATATCCTTCCTATTTGAAATCTTTACTTTTCGATTAAAACTTCTCTCTTCCTACTTTACATGTCTTTGTGGTTTTTCATTCTGCATCTCAGGACAGGTCTCTAAGCTTAGCAATCTGGACCTAAAGAACCAAGGATTTTGTACAATGTAGCTCAACAACTGACCCCACGGCGCATTCCCTGCAGGCAATCCCTCCCTGCAAGCACCTTTTGAGCAGCTGAGCTTGTGAATGAGCTGGCATTTCTCCTGAATATGATAACCAGCTCTCTGCAAGCCACTTGTCTCGTCTCACAGAAAGTCAGCTTCTCAGAGACTGAACAAGCCTAAATAAAAACCAGAAGCCTCAGCGAAGCCCCTGTGACCCGGATGACAAGCACTCGCCTCAGTCCTCCAGTGGCAGCCCATTCTCAGGACGTGCTCCCTGCCTGCGAGCTTGCTGTCCTCCTCTCGCCCCCAGTAAGCTCTCTGCTTGCTACCCCGTGTCTGCATCTCTAAATCCTCGTGCACGTGAGACAGGAACCTGTGTCCCACTGAGGGTGCTGGGCCTAATCGCCCCTCACCCCATGTCCCTGCCTCACAGGCACCTGAGCTGAGGGGGTCACGGCCCAACACCTGCCACATGCTGGCTTCCACTATATAATCAGACTCTACTGCCCACGGCTGGAACGCCCTCCACATCACTGAGAACGTGACCGCCTCGTGGTAGCAGCTCACTCCCCACCATGGAAGTTGCCTCAGATGACACGAGCCCAGAGCAGATGCCATCCCACCACACGAGTCCCTGACCATGGCCTGGGGCATCCGGCCTCACCTCACCCACACAGAGCAGCCCTCACCGTGCTCCTCAAACCTGGGACAGAGAGGAGCGCTGAGGAAGGACTTCCCTGGCAAACACCGCAAGAATGCCTCATGCCAGGACAGCTCCAGTGTGCCATGATCAGGCTGGTTCTGAAGCCCCAAATCAGCGATGTGCCTACCAGGCAGCCAGCCACAGGGACACCGCAGGTGGGTCTGAGGGGCCTCTCAGATGATGCTATCCCCAACCGGGACCCCTGCCCTCCTAGGTCTTCGGACGTCTGAGTCTGAGGCACTGCTCTTCAAGGGCATTTCAGGTGCTAACTTGCCATAATAAGCTGTAGGTTCTGAGCAAAGAAGGGGTAGGTCCCCGTAAAGAGCGGAAGGGCAGAGCTCTCTACTGGGTCCTGTTGGGTTCTGACAGGACACAAGGTTCCCAGTGCCCTGGACAGCAAGAGAGAGGGACCTTCACGTGGCCTTCAAGAGCAAGGGCATTGCACCCGATGCCCGTATCCGCAGGCTTGGGGCAAACTCCTCGTTACCACTCATCTCAGAGAGCAATACTGAGACCCTGGGGGGGAGGGGGGACCACACGAGAGCCATTTCCCAGGGATCAGTGTAACTCAGTCCTCAGCTTCGCACGGTGCCTCTGTCCTCCTCAAGGGTGTTCCTGCCAATGGTGGTGTGCGCAACAGGTATTTCTGAAATACTGGGTCATCAGAAAAGTCATGACGCATTTTTGCATAGAAAAATAGGTCATGACTTTTCCAATGACCCGATAGACACATACATACAAAAACAAAGCAAAGTAATCCCTTCAAAGGAGCATTCTTGTCTCTTGAGAGAGGACAACGAATACCTACTGCTTCTGTTTACAATGACAAGCAAAGTGCAATCGAGTCTGCCTGATGCTAACCGATTTCAGTACGGAGGAGCCGCGTCAGCGGGAAGGCACAGGGCTCCTGGGCACACCCCAGGCTCAGATCAGAGGGCACTGGCCTGGGCATGCAGGCCCTAGCTGGGCAGAACAGGGACTAGAGGGCTTCCCACATACACTGCACTCCCTGGCTGGCTGGAGTCGGGACCACCTGTGCTCTGCATGGCACTCTGGGCAGACGGGCAGCACCCATGACCCTCCAGGAGGGGAGCCAGGAGAGAGCTGTGTGTCTTACCTCTGTGCTCAAGCCCGGGGTTGCTGACGCCCCAGCCCTGGCAGAGGGTCGCAAAGTCCTTTGGAATGTACGTCTTAAAGATGTTGAGGATGTCCAGGCGTTTCTCCGGCCCCTCGGCTGCCGGCTCCTGCTTGATGGCGTGCAGAACAGGTGGAGCTCCAGCTGCGCCAGGCTGGGACTGCGAGGCCGCATCCCCCCTGGACCCCGCAGTGCAAGTGGTCAGTGTCCTCAGCTCCTGAGCCGCCTTGGAGGGGGGCTCACATGGAGGTAGAGGAGGGCCCCCATCGCCTTTCGCGGGAGGCTGACCCTGAGGCTGAGGGCTGAATTTGGCTTTCAGGGAGTCCGGGGTACTGTGCTTACTTGGGGGTGCAAAGCCAGCCCCCACAAGGGGAGCCCCGTACTTCTCCACGGGCTTGCTGTTGGCCGATGGCTGCGTGCCAACTCGGGCAATGACGGTGGGTGTGGGGGTGGCACTTCTGCTGAAGCCCCCACCGCCTGGAGCAGGCACCGCCTTGGCACTGGCCTCCTGCTTGGGCCTCAGCGGCAGCCCCTGGGCAGTAGCACCACACTGTTCCTGCCCGGGGCCAGGTCTGGTCTGTCGGTACCCATCAGGACTGGATGCCCAGAGCGCACATGGGCCCCCGGAATGGCTCCCCTGATTCTTAGGCATGCTAGCGGCTTTCGTGGTCACGCCCAGGGGCGAGGAGCTGCTTTTGGGCCCTGGCGCCGCACCTGGTACCTGGGTGCGGGTGAACCGTGCCAGGAGCAGAGGCTGGCATTCTTTGCCACCGAGGGCTGGCGGGGGGCCCGTGCGTCCGCTGCGGGACAGGAAAACCAAGTTGTTTCTGATGCTTTTGTAACCGTTGGGCTGAATCCACGGGGGCGCCATGGCGCTGCAGCTGACCCTGTGCCAGATGCGTTTGTGCATCCACAAGACCTCAGGGTAGCACGTCTTGTGGTCACAGTAAGGACATGGGTGAATGACCAGAGCGGCCTGCAGGGAGGCGGCCACCTCCTTATTGCTGGGGTCATCCCGGGTTGACCTTGCGCTTAGATCCAGCGGGACCAGATCCGGGGCTGGCACCCTCTTCCCTCCCCCGGAGGGCTCTCTATTGTGCAAATCGGGCAGCTGCTCCTTCGGGTGGCCGGTCAGGTTCTCCAAGGCGAGCTGTGGGTCAGCTCCATCCACAGCTCCGGGGAAAGCCAGCGAGTCACCAGTGCCAGGAGCCTCCAGCTTGGGAAGACATGCTGGCATCTTCAGGTCGACAGTGAGCCGAGGCTGCTCGGGCCTTCCGGGCAGCTCTCTGCTGCTGTGGTCAAGTGTGGGCACCGATGTCACAGTCCCTGCTTGGAGCTCGCTGGTGTCTTCTTCTGGCGGGCCACGTCCACGTTGGTGACTTTGGTCTCCGTTGGGGAGCACAGTGGGAACTATGTCTTCTGAAAAGCAGCAGCGCCGTGGCTGTCCCCCTGCAGGATGCAAAATGTGAAAGGGGAGGTTACCACTTCTCATCAGAACAGGACGAGACACAGAGCTCTGCCAGTCACATAGCAGCACACCCCGGACGGGCCGGGGGCGCAACCCCCGGCAGCGCACGTGGTTCCTGAGTGCCGTTTGCTCTTGGCACACCTGCAGGCGGCCAGCCCAACACGAGCGAGACAGCTATGAAGATGCTATGCGGGCGGGGCTTCTCTCTCCACACACTAGATGAAAAGGACTCAAACAACCGCAGAGTACCAGCAGTAGTAACTACACCGTTACTGGTTAACAGAGGGCGCCTGGGTACACTAAAATTAGGAAGAGAACTTAGTGGTAACAATACAACTTCGCATGACTTTCTAAGACTCTCCACTTACAGCTCCTGTGGGACCCTTGTATAAGGGAGAGGTCGGCTGTAGCCATGGTCATGCAGGGGTGGAACTGGAACACTGCTTTCTCTGACCACCGGGACCCAGCGTCTGTCTCAGAAACCGCCGGGCTACTGAGCACATACAGCTTGCACCAGGAAAGCTCGCAAGGCATCTGTGAGATCCAGTTTTCCAGACGAAACTTGACAGCAGAGTTTCCTGCAGAGGCCTTGGGTAAAGGGGCAGGTGTCAAGCTGTTCATCTCAGGCTGTCACCTGTGGGTGACCAAGCATTTGCATGCAGCCCCGAGCTGGAAGCACCTGGAGGTCTTGCCTAAGCTACTGCCGGGATGGACCCTGCCAGGGCTGGCCTGCAGTGGCCAGCCCCTTCCACCTGACCTAGCGAACGCTGGGTGGCTATGAAAACTGCCACCCCGATGATGTACAAGTCTCTCCAAAGCCAGGCACCCAGTCGCCACAAGTGGACACACACAGTTTCACAGAAACCCTCTTTGACTTAAGTGCAGAAGTCAAAATTTAGAAGGTATACAGATGTTTCTAGATACCCTCAAATGCTCTGAATTACAGACTACAGGTTTCTCTACCATCTGCAAACTCCAAGTGGCCTTGTACCTTACTGGCACGTCACAGGACCAGTTAAAACATGAGCTACTGACTTACAAAGAAGGCATGATGCTGCTGGATTGTTTTGTTTGTTTGTTTGCCACAGGGCTCATCAGGGACAGAGAAAGTGAGAAAGTGAGTCGCCAGGTCCAGGACTGGAACCACAGTCAGCCACGTAGGAGTCCAGCACCTTAACCACCATGTCACCTGCTGGCCCTGATGCTACTGGATTTAAAATCGATTTGTAGGGATTTTAACTTCCAGTGGAACATAGATACTTGCTTATTCAGAATATCGTTTAAAAATACTCTAAGCATTCATCTGGAGATAGGCTTAGGAATCTCAAGTTGGTTGAAACCTAGTCCCGAGGGTTCTCCCTCAGGGAGCGAGCAGCCATCCCAGAACAGGCGGAGCTCCGAGGGAGCAGCATGGCAAGCTCATTTCCAATCAGCAGGTGGTCCATGAGCCACTCTCCACTGGCCTGCAGGGGTAATGGCCACGTAAGCCCCGTACAGACTACAGGTTTCTCTACCATCTGCAAACTCCAAGTGGCCTTGTACCTTACTGGCACGTCACAGGACCAGTTAAAACATGAGCTACTGACTTACAAAGAAGGCATGATGCTGCTGGATTGTTTTGTTTGTTTGTTTGCCACAGGGCTCATCAGGGACAGAGAAAGTGAGAAAGTGAGTCGCCAGGTCCAGGACTGGAACCACAGTCAGCCACGTAGGAGTCCAGCACCTTAACCACCATGTCACCTGCTGGCCCTGATGCTACTGGATTTAAAATCGATTTGTAGGGATTTTAACTTCCAGTGGAACATAGATACTTGCTTATTCAGAATATCGTTTAAAAATACTCTAAGCATTCATCTGGAGATAGGCTTAGGAATCTCAAGTTGGTTGAAACCTAGTCCCGAGGGTTCTCCCTCAGGGAGCGAGCAGCCATCCCAGAACAGGCGGAGCTCCGAGGGAGCAGCATGGCAAGCTCATTTCCAATCAGCAGGTGGTCCATGAGCCACTCTCCACTGGCCTGCAGGGGTAATGGCCACGTAAGCCCAGCCGGTACTGGGATGAGCCGGTCAGCAGCTTGGTGAGGAGAGGCGACGGAGGAGGGCTGAGCTGCCTGGCTCCCAGCTCCTCCGAACGCTAGTATCTAAGAGGCAGGTATGTGTATCTGTCAGGTGCAGAACTGTACCCCACTCTGAAAGCAAACTGTGGGCCAGCCGGTGGTGCAGCAGCAATTCCACACGGCGATGCGGGCCAGCATGGAAGGTCCCAGGTGCTCGTCCCAGGACCTCCCTGTGCAAACCAGGGACAAGCACACACCTGTGATCCGGGCCAGCTGCAGTTGGGCCCTGGTGAGAAAACCCTGCTGGGGATGTCAGCCACCCTGCCTGTCTTTCCCTTTGCAGACTGAGTAACCCTAGACAGCTCCACAGGCACAAAGAGGTTTAACCTGAAACTAGCACACAGAAAGGAAGCCTTTAATTCATACAAACCCTCAGTATCAACAATTCACTTTTAAACATGCAAAGAGTAACTCTGGGGGTTGGGAGTGAAGGGGACTGGTTTTCCCTGTATTAAAGCAGTAACGGCTTATGAAAATATCGCCGAGGACTACTTGTGGAATTTGTGGGCTGAAATGATGAGGCCATGCAATCTGACACCACACATCTGAGGGGTTTCTCACAGCACACTGTCAAAGTCTGTAGCCTTTATGCACCCAAAAAGGACCATAAAGCATCACAAGGAAACTTCCTGTACCTCTGACAAGATACTAAGTAATCAAAAGCAAATGCTATAACCCCAAGGTGGCGGCTGGGAGCAAACTGACAAACTGGTCAAAGGACATCCAAGCGGCCACAGGGAAGAAGACCCGACCCACCCGGGAGACAGGATCCCACGATGGGGTCCTACCAGAGGAGACCGATAATTAAAGACAACTGTTCTTCCACAAACCACCGACCAACTTGGGAAGACAGCTCAGCAGGTGAAGGTGGTGATTTAAAGATGCAAGTGGGAATCGGGGCAACAGAGGTCCTCTCCGACAGGGAGCCAGGTGCTTCCTCCCCCGCGGCCCAGGCTATCCTCTGGTCCCTCTTCCAGCCCCAGGTTCTCGGAGGTCCAGGCGCACCAAATCACCAGCAGCACCGAGAGGCACCCTGGAGCTGGGGGGGTGACAGGGGAAAGCCACAGCACAGACCACACCTGCCCTCCGTCCTTGCCCAGCCCTGCACCAGTCACCACGCCCTCCCCTGGCACACACCGAGGAGCTGCAGCAGCTGTTGTCTCTGCAGTTCGGGTCGCTGGATCAGGGCCCAGGGGAGAAGCAGCCCAGGCAGCCGTGGGGGACCATGCTCACGCTCTCCACTCCTGGCCACTGCCGGCGACTTGGCGCCCTCCCTGCCCCACCGCCCGCCTTCCCTCAGGCACATGGTGGGCTTCCCAAAGAACCAGGTTCCAGCATCGCAAGAGACTGCCATCGGTGCACTCCTGCAGGGGCGGCCATGCAGAGGCAGGCGCTCACGGGGCACGCCGGCAGGGGGGCGCATGCAGAGGCAGCCGCTCGCTGCCCACCAAGTCTCACAGACGAGCACAGCAGTGTTCTGCAGGGAGGAGGCAGGGCGAGCCTCCCCTGCAAGTCTGCTGTGCTCAGAGAGCACAAACCAGAGGCGGCAGGCGCGGAGCACTTCGGAAAGTTGAGCAGAGGGAGGAAAACTCAGGAGTCTTTCTGCCGTGCTCCTGGACTGAGTCTGCTGGCGTTCCACTGGTACATACACCCACGCTCGTGGAGATGCTGGGTGGCTTCATGCAGACTGCTTCGTTTAACCTTGACCGCAGTGCCGAGGGTGCACAGCCAGAGATGCGAAGACTGGCTCAGCAATGCCCAAAACACCCCCACACGGAGTAAGCCCCTGCTCCGTACTGACACCCCCTCTCAGGAGCCTGCCGGGGTAGAACACCCTGGAGGAGGCTCTGATCGCTCCCTCCCATATGTACACACGTGCACGCTGCACCCCCAAGCACACCCGCGTGTCACGGCCAGCCTGCCCTCGCCTGCTCCTTCCTGGGCCCAAACGATAGGGCAGGGTGAAGCACGCGACCCCCGTCCCTGGCTCCTTTCTAACAGGACTCTCCTAGATGTGTTTCTGTTTGTATTAGTTTTTAAGGTTTCTGCATAGGACATGTGTACTTACAGGAGAGGGACACAGAGAGACAGTGAGAGGGAAAGTGAGAAATCACCCCCAGGGGAGACGGCCACACCGGATGCCTCTCCTCCATTCCCCTACGACTTGGGGCATACACACGCGCGCTTGACATGGACTTCAAGCCGCTGGGTCCAGGATTTAATCATGTGGGACTCTAATGCCTTAACCACCACCACCACTCACTGGCCCCCTCGATGTGGTTTCAGACTCTGACAGATCTGACCGCAGCCCAAGCTGCCCTGCCCTGGCTCCCCCTGCACACACGGGCAGATGTGGGTGCTGACTCTGGGCTCCTGAGAGCCCCCAGAGCTCAGCGAGTTACAGGCTCACATCATTTGGAGTCCAAGGCAGCACCGCGAACATCCCAGCCACCCTAAAAGGCAGAGACACAGTGAGTCAGGTACTCTGTAAGAAAAATCGCTCTCCTTCCACTTTTTTATTTCTGTTTTCTTTATTGCGGGTGAATATACAGAACCTAAGCTCACCATTTAAACCCCACTGCCGTGCTCGTCCGTGGCCTGGTTCTCCCTGTTCAGTGTTATGTTGGGTGGTCTAACCCCTTTGACGCACTTCAGGCCTAGTGTCTGCTGGGGCCTCCTTCCTGTGACCTTCCCATGTAGAACACAGCCCTGCAGCGGCCTGCAGTGCTCCTGGTGAAGGGGCCTGGGTGTGGTGCCTCCAGGCCTCCTGCGGTGCTGGTCGCTGGTGGCCTCTGCTTTCCCCTGAAGGCCCTGCACACCTGAAGGACAGCTTGCAAAGGGGCCACGGCCCCACTGGCCCACTGCTCACTG